TAAGTCGGTACCAACTCGATGGCACCTAACAACAACAACAGTGATATAATCACTTCTGTTTTCATGTAAAGTTATATGTACATTAACATAAGGTATAAAGAAAAAACAAATTTAAAGGACACAAGATAAATTTTGATAGAAGAAAATTAAGTGTAGAAACTCAGAAAGTACGTAATTAAACATCTCTCAAAAAGCTCTGAAGGTACATAGTGATTTCCATATCATTCGACAGAAATTCATTGACTATGCACAAGGGACCACAAACTCTGCTAGATGACAGTGAGTAAGAAAATGTCTATCTTCAAATGAGGTTACAACTCAGAGGATAACAGCAACATGAGACAAGTAACATACAGAGAGCATATAGGATGGGTATCTACCCCAATGCTAAAGGGTCAGGAAAGGATTCCATGACAGCCATCACAGCCTGCTGCATTTGCTCAGTCACTTATGAAGAGTATGGTGACTGAATTCAGGTGTCCTGTCCACTGGCATCAATGTGCCATAGCTGGTCATTTATAAAAGGGATCTGTTGTTGTTAGGTGCTGTCAAGTCGGTACCGACTCAAAGTAACCTTCTGCACAACAGAATAAAACACTGCTGGGTACAGCACCAACCTCAAAATCATGGCTGCACTTGATTCTACGTATTATTCATTTAAGTCAAATTTCACTGAATTAAGCAGAACCTGAAATCCCTAATTTGACTTTTCTAGAAGCTTGTAATGAAAAAGCCATGTACCAGATTTTCAGACAAGCCTACTCCTGAAGCTGCCAATGACAGCAGGAGCTTTGGGTCTGACACACCTAACAGATTATTCAACGTGCATGACACAAACGTATATAAAATTCAACACACGTATAAAAACTCCCCCATCTGTATTTCCTCCTATTTCTGTCTATGGTTTATAGTCATTCTCTCTCAGTGAATGGGACTGCCATTGATCTGGGACAACCTAGACTTTCCTTCTTTTGCACCTCTCACATTCAAACTAAAAACTTGTTCATTCCTCCTACTTGTCTCTCAAATCTTCCCTTTTTACATGTCCTCACTGCTACTTAAAGGCTCATCAGATTTACTGTAATAACTGGTTTACCAGTCTCCAGCTCATCTGTTACAGCTCTAATGGTGTCCCCCTAAAAGATGTACAAGTTCTAACCCTAATCTATGACTGTGACCTTGTTTGGAACTAGGGTTTTTAAAGATATTATCAATTAACATATGAGTATATTGGAGTAGGGTGGGTCCTAATCCTTTAGGAATGGTATCCTTATATAAGAGAAGACACACAAAGACAGACAGAAAAGACAGCCCTGTGAAGATGGAGGCAGATTAGAGTCTTGCTGCAGCTGCAAACCAAAAAACCTACTGAGGCTACCAGAAGCTGGAAGAACCAAGGAAGGACTTTCGCCCCATGTCTTCATAAAGAACATGGTCCTGCTGATACTCTGAATTTGAACCACTAGCCTCCAGGCTTGTAAATCTATAAAATTCTGTTGTTTAAGGCCCTCCCCTCCCCACTGGTGGTACTTTACTACAACACCCCAGTAAAACTAAGAGACCACCATTTTACTGTTACTCAGATGATCTTGGTAAACAAAACGTGCATATGAACATCTCACTCACTCATTACTTATAATCCTAAATGGATTTCTGAATACCATGCAACATTCAAAATTAAAAGAAATTCAAGACTGAATTTTCCAAAAAAGGATTATTTCCTTTTGGGCACAAATGAACCTTTAAGTCCCTTGAAGAGCTCCTTGGTAAAACATCTAGGGTTTTACATGATGTAATTTCTGTTCACTGTTCCAATCTCATTGCATCCTATAGTCTTGAGTCATTAACAATATACTTACAGTTCTCTGATAAAGTCTTACATTTCTTTACTGTGTCACTTTCTCATTGCATATTTTACCTGGAAGCCTATCCTCACTCCTCACACGGCAAACATCTATTCATCTTTGAAGACTCACCTCAAGTTACTCATCCTTCTGTGCTGTCTGTGATGTCTGCCCTGCTCATCTCCCTTGGTACAAACAATTGTCTTACACCCCTTTCTACATGGACTTTTTCACAATACATTTAAAAATGTACTGCATATTTTTGCCTTCTCATCTACTACCCTAACCAGAAGACAGACTCATTGTGGTCAAAGCCTCACCATCTTTCATACTTGCATTCCTAGACCCTAGCACAAGGAGCCATGGTGGCACAACAGTTAAGTGCTGGGCTGCTAGCCAAAAGGTTGGTGGTCTGAACTTGCCCAGTAGCTCCATAGAGAAAGACTTGACAATCTATCCCCATAAAGATTACAGTCTAGAAAACTGTATGGGGCAGATTTACTTTGCCACATAAGGGTGTTATGAGTCAAAACTGACTTGATGGAACCTGCCACCAACACCTAGAAAATATTTACAGCACAGCAGACACTCACCATACAAATGTTTTTTCAATGATCAAGAAGTGAAGGAACCAAAACCTTCACATCACTTGGCTAATTCCTTTAAGATTCACGTTGACATGAGCTCTTGTGGGAAACCTTCTCTGAGTTCTCACGTGTGGGCTGACTTCCCCTTCTGCACTCCTACAGGAGTCTGTCTTGTCTTACTAACCACACAATATTATCATTGTTGTCTGTCTTCTCTTTCTCCCACACTAATTTGTAAACTTTCTTGACACTAACTGTTCATCATCTCTGTATTTTTAATACCAGGTAGATAGTACAGGATTCCTGAGTAAACAAAGAACTGTGATTGGTAATATACCCTAGGGGCCTTGCAGCTCATTAAAAATACTACCAGCTGACATTTTAGGGTTCCCACAGCACTCCAAAGCTGATTCTGTATGTTTTTGTCATTCACCCTAATTGGCAGAGCTATACTTCAAAGCTATTTCTGAAATACCAAAAGTCTAAACACTTAGTCACTCTGCAATACTGCCTCATCTCCATGCTCAATCTTATGTTACACCATATTACTTATAATTTTTTCCAATTAAGTTAAATACTTGCAGCATACCTATTACTTTAAAATGTACTGTACTATATGTATTTGTTGGGTGTTAGCAGCAGATACAAAGGAGCTCTGGTAGCGTAGTGGTTAAGAATCGGGCTGCGAACTGCAAGGTCAGCAGTTTGAAACTACCAGCTGTTCCACGGGAGAAAGATGAGGTGTTCTGCTCCTGTTAAGATTTGCAGCCTCGGAAACCCTGTGCAGGGTCACTATGAGTCGGAATCGACTCCACTGCACACAGCCACCAGCAGAGATATAATCTGCCCAGAGAACCCTTCACCATCAAAAGAAGATGGAAGGAATACACAGAGTCACTGTACCAAAAGAAATGATTGATGTTCGACCATTTCAAGAGGTAGCATATGATGATACTGAAGGAGGAAGTCCAAGACAATTGTTGAGGGTATTCCTCTATTTTGCTGACTCCCCACTTTTTCAAGCATGATGTCTTTCTCCAGGGATTGGCCCTTCACAATAACATGTCCAAATTACATGAGATGAAGTCCTACCATCCCCACTGCTAGGGATCATTCTGGCTGTACTTCTTCCAAGACAGACTTGTTGGCAGTTCACAGTATATTCAATATTCTTCGCCAGAACTGTAATTCAAATGTACCAATTCTTCTCCAGCCTTACTTATTTTCATTGTCCAGCTTTTGCATGCATATGAAGCAATTGAATATACCAAAACTTGGGTCAGGAGCACCTCAGTCTTCTCAATGATATCTCTGCTCTTTAACACTTTAAAGGCGTCTGGTATGGCACTGTGGGATATAGCACTGGACCTTAAGGTAACAATGAACCACAAGGTCGGCAGTTCAAACTCACCAGCCACTTTTGGAAACTATACAATTTGGAAACTATGAGTTGGAACCAACTCGAAGGCACTTAACAACATTTGCAGTTGATCTATTCAACGCAATAGGTCCTTTAAGCTCAGGTACTAGTATTTCTCAAGCGGCCGGCGAGAGCCATCTAGTGGCAATCTTGTTTAATGGCAATCTGCAGTGAGCAGGTTATGTCACATTTTACGCTACTTGCAATTCTACTCATTTAAAAAAAACGTAAAAACATTTAATACTCTCACTATGTGAACAAAATGAGAAATAATTACAATCTTACATTTATTCCCACAGAAAAATCAGTCTTGAATATCTCTTCATTCTGAATTATTTAAGGTTGTCACCCAATATAAAACTGCCACTCTAAACAATATTATCAATGTTTTCCAACATCAGTTTCTTTTCTGGTTCCTGAAAAATCTGCAGTCCACTGGACGTTTCTTTTCACTTAAGAGAATGCAGCAACGGGTACGGAAACATCAATGATCAGTCTTCTCTATTTTATCTTTTATCTCCAGAGTAACACAGGCATTGTTGGAAAAGCACTGAACTGCTAACCACAAGGTCAGCAAGCAGTTCTAACCCACCAGCTGCTCTGCGCAAGAAAGATGAAGTACTCATGTAAAGATTTACAGCCTCAAAAACCCTATACAGGGTTGCTATGAATTGGAACCAACTCGATGGCACTTAATTACAACACAGCAGAAAGGTTAGCGAGGTTCTAGAGTAGTCTTGAGTGCACTGAACCCTGAGTCTGAAATTCACAGAGGAAGACTGGTCTTCAAGAGCATTACCAAATGTAGCCATTTCCTAAACAAGATCTGTGCAATCCCAAGTTTGATGTGCTAGTTACATATTTCTAGAATACACTAAAATCAACCACTAGTAACAATTTTTCAATGCTCATATGTATGTCACCTAAACCATCTCATGCACCATCCAGTGGTTCAGCTAACAACTCTGATACATGAATCATAACTGGGGAGACATTGCTATAAGGCTTAAGCAAACTTTTCAGCTGTGAAAACTCTTTTTAATAAAAAAGTTTTGTAGGCCCTAATCTGAAAAGAGTACAACTTTACTTGGTTTACATCAGGAACACTACTATAAATTACAATACAAAGCAGAATACAGCATTCAGCATGCAAACAGTACAAAGAGATTCACAAGTGAATATTCTTAACAGATGCTATATCAAGAAAAAAGAAGTGTGCTGTATACCTGAAACTGGGTCAAATGGCTGAGAAAATGGCTTAGGATCACATTTTTGATGCACAGTTTCCGCACTAACGACAGGCTTCCTCATTAAGATGTTCTCTGCTGCTATGGCCAGTCTGGGCCTTTGTCCTTCACTAAGTTCACCCACACTATTGTCCAAGTCCTATGAAAAGATGAAAAGGTTGTCAAAATCATTATAGTAAAACCAATTCAAAACAGGAAATAATTGTTTTATATGATGGTCTGCACTACTTGACTACTTGAAAGGTATTTTACACAATACTTTTTATGCTACATAAGTGGTTTCATCGACAATAGCATTAATATCCTATGCAAGCAAAATTTTGCTGAAGATAATTCAAAAATGTTTCCAACAGTACATTAACAGGGAACTGCCAGAAATTCAAGTCGGATTCACAAGAGGACACGGAATGGAGGAAATCATTGCTGATGTCAGACGGATGTTGAATGAAAGCAGAGAATTCCAGAAAGACGTTTACTTGTGCTTTATTGGCTACACAATGGCTTTTCGACTGTGTGGATCATGACAAGCTAAGGATAACACTGTGAAGAATGGGTATTCCAGAACATATAATTATGATCATGAGGAATCTGTACATAGACCAAGAGGCAGTCATTAAATAGAACAAGGGGATACTGAATAGTTTAAAGTCAGGAAAGGTGTACACCACGGTTGTATTCTTTCACCATACTTATTCAGTCCATATGCTGAGTAAATAATCACAGAAACTGGATTATATGAAGAAGAATGTGGCACCAGGATTAGAGGAAGACTCATTAACAACTTGTAATTTGCAGACGATACAACCTTGCTTGCTGAAAGTGAATAGGACTTAAAACATTTACTGATGAAGATCAAACAGCACAGACTTCAGTATGGATTACATCTCAATGTAAAGACAACAAAATCCTCACAATGGACCAATAAACAACATTCTCATCAATGGAGAAAAGATGGAAGTTGTCAAAGACTTCACTTTGTTGGATCCACAATCAACACTCATAGAAGCAGCAGTCAAGAAACCAAAAGATATACTGCATTAGGCAAATCTGTTGCACAAGACCTCTTTAAAGTGCTCAAGAATTAAGGACAAAAGTGTGCCTGACTCGATGGATCTGACAATAAGGAGGCTTCAAAAAGTTCATGGAAAAATGGAATTAAAAGATAATAAAATTTTTCCATGAACTTTTTAAGGCCCTCTCATATATACATTACTTGAAGGGTAAGTTTAGTTTCTTAAGGCTTTGAGTGCTAGAATTTGTGTTAAATATTTTATTTTTTAAGACGGTAAATATCCCTTATCCGTTGTATTAATGCTCCAAACTTAAATAACAAGATACGACACTAATTTTAAATAATATAAAAGAACTATACATAATTCATGCCGATTAAAACCAGAATTAGAAAATGTATCTCTCTTTCTCCATGAATTCAAATTGCTTGAAGTTTTCAGTGTGAAATTTATCATTATACAACTGATAAGAATAACATACCTCACACCAGCTGCTCCCTGGAAACCCTACAGAGGATCACTATGGGTCAGAAACAATTCGACAACACTTAACAACAACAATGACATAAATATTACCTCTATCCAACTGATTAACAGTTTATAAATATACAAATTAAACAAGACCAGTTAAAATTGTAGAAAATGGAATTCTTTGTTTCATAAATTTCTAGTTTTTCTAGTATTTAATTCCTTTGCCTTTTTTTTTTTTCTTTTCTTTCTTTTTTACTTTTTAAAAAGTTTTTATTGTGAATTGAGTGCAAGTTTACATGGCAGATCATCAGTTTTACATTCAACAAATCATATACTTTGTTTCATTACAATGATTACATACCCCTCCACATACCATCAGTTAACAGTATTTCTTTCTATTTCTCTCTATACATTCTATTCATTTTAGCTTTTTTATTTTTTTTAAACACTCAGGCATATATAATAATTTAAACCACCAAAGGGCACAATCTGCAAATCTGTCTCCTGGTGTGGAGCTATATTCCCTGGACCAAATGGTTGGTTTGAACTACCAGGTTGGGAGTTCAAACTCACCAGCTCATAAACTCACAGACTCACCTGTATAGGAAACCCTATACAGGTTTGCTACGAGTCAGCACTGACTTGACAGCACTTAACCACCAACAACAAAAACAACAAATGACATTTATAGAATAGTCCATCCACCAAGAGATTCTTCCTAAGTCCTTTACCTTTCTTAACCATTTAAATTTTTAAGGATAAAAATTTTAACTATTAGGAAATAAAACCAGCCATATATCCCTAGGGTCTGTATAGTCTTCAGATTTTTATATGTGCTCAGATAGAAACATCCATCATTAATTATCCTGACTCTGCTGTACATTTCTGCCTGAACTTTCCCTCTTGTTGTTGTTAGGAGCCACTGAATCAGTTCTGACTTATAATGACCCTATGCCCAACATAACGAAATACTGCCCAATTCTGCACCATTCTCACAATTGTTCCATGTGTGAGTCATTGTTGCTGCCACAGTGTCACTCCATCTCTTTGAGGGTCTTCCTCTCTTTACTGACCCTCCAGTTTACAGTATGTCCTACTCCATGGACTGATGTCGCCTGACAGTATGTCCAAAAAACAAGAGACAAAGTCTCTCTCTCTGCCCTCTCTCCTACGGAGCATTTTGGGTGTACTTCTTCCAACACATTTGTTTGCTATTCTGGCAGTCAATGATACTTTAACATTCTTCTCCAAGACTGACAACTCAAATGCATCAATTCTTCTGCAGTCTTCCTTATTCATTGTCCAACTTTCACATGCATATGAGGCAAATGAAAAGACTATGGCTTGAGCCAGGCCCACCTTAGTTCTCAAAGTGACATTTTTGCTCTTTAACACTTAAAAGAGGTCTTTTGCAGCAGATTTACATAATGCAATATATCATTTGATTTCTTGGCTGTTGCTTCAATGAGCATTGATTATGTATCAAATAAGAATGAAGTCTTTGACAACTTCAATCTATTGTGTTTATAATGATGGTACTTACCAGTCCAGTTATGAAGATTTTTGTTTTCTTTACACTGAGATTCAATCCACGCTGATGACTGTAGTCTTTGTTCTTCATCAGTAAATATTTTAAGTCCTCTTAACTTCTAGCAAGCAAGGTTGTGTCATATACATGTTACAGGTTGTTAATGAGTCTTCCTCTAATCCCGATGCCATGTTCTTCATATAATTGAGCCTTTTGGATTATTTACTAAGCATACACAGTGAATAAGTATGGTGAAAGGATACAACCCTGGCACACATCTTTCCTGATTTTAAACCATTCAGTATCCCTTCTAATGATTGCCTCTTGGTCTATGTACAAGTTCTTCATGAGCACAATTAAGTGCTCTGGAATATTCTTTCGTTTTTCTCAATGTTATCCATAGTTTGTTATGATCCACATAGTTGACTGCCTTTGATTAGTCACTAAAATACAAGGAAACATCTTTCTAGTGTTCTCTGCTTTTAGCCAATAACCATCTAACATCCGCATTGATATAACTCATTCCATGACCTCTTCCGAGTCCAGTTCGACTTACTGGCAATTCTCTGTTGGTGATATTAATGATACTGTCCTGTGACTTCTACATTCTGTTAGGTCACCTCTCTTTGGAACAGGCACA